ATTGTGGTACAAATTTTTGTCTGGTCTTTTATATTTGAGTGCTTACTTGAATTTTCTTGAATCACAACGAAACTTGAGGTTTTAAGTCACACCTACAGCTAGAAGTTTCAGAGTCCAGAATGCACTGACAGATGCTGTTCTGGCAGCCACTAAAGCAGCTGTGCTTTAGTGTGCAGCACATGCCACTATTGCATCAACACACACATCTTGTGTCCTCTGGCATCTATGTTCCAGGATTTTTCTGGAACAAATTCAGTTTTATTAGCACTGAGGGTGCTTCAGTTTAAACAGAATTAATTTAGCTGACTCATAACATAGCAGGCTGAGCACTAAACACAGGGAAAGGAGAACTTGTGTTCAGGCTCCACAGCAAGGACTCATTCTTGGTTCCCCTGGTTATCAAAAAGCCACTTGGATCTTAAGAAAGAGCAACACTTAATTCTGATGTGTGACATTTAGTTAGAACTTTATTAGGCAGAGGAAATCGAGGAACACTGCCACATGCACAACTGTTCTAAGCCCTGAGTCAACAAACATTCCTATTGCTTATTCTACTAAAGCAGGACATATCTCTTCTTTCAGATGTGTTATTTCTGAAGGTAAAGGGACACAGATCTTCATCAGGGAGTAAACCCTGGGACATAATGAGGTGTTACAGCACACCCTTTCCTGCCTTTTTATTTATTTATTAAAAAAAAAAAAACAAACACAAAAACAGAGCTGCCCTTATGGAGCAGATTTTATTCATTCCAGTCAAAGGTATCCATCTTTTTCCACAGGAAACTATGTTGGGGTTTCTTAGGATAGCTTGCACTAGTAAATTGGTGGTGTGCCAAGTAAATAATTTGTAGACACTGCTCAGAAGCACATCTGAAAACACATACCTGCAACCTCACTAACAGTACCTTTAAAGTAATTTTTTAAGATATGTAAATTACCTGGTAGTAACTTTATCCAGGTCTGTGTCCACTAAACAAAGTTTTGAGTTATTGATAGCACTAATTGCTTGAGGTACATCTAGAAACAAGTAGTAATGACAACAAACCCTTCCACAAAGAAATACAAAAAGTGAAAGGATACCAAAACTGCTTTATAAACTAACACTGCCATTCAAATGAACTTGCAGAGCATGGAACAATACCTTGATGTAGCAGAGAAGCAGAAAGCCCTCTTCCAAGAGCAAAAGGAGGAAAAACAAGATCTTATTCTGCAGCTGAACAAGGACATTGAAGAACAGAAGCCAAAACTAGAAAGGGTTATAAAACAGGTTTGTATGTTACTGACAACTTCTACCTTTGTAGTGATAGTAGTGTGGGTTAAACTCTGGTTTTAGCTTAGCAGGGTTCTGAAACAGTGTTGTATTTTCATAAGAACAATGCTTTAAAAATATTTGTGTTAAGTGTTCCAGACTATCCAGAGAAATTCAGTCTCTGAGGCAAAATGGAACAAAAACAGAGGAAGAGAGAGACATTGATCTTCGGGAATTGAAAAGCTTCAACAGAACCGTCAACCAAGTGATAGCTGATGTTCTAGAAACAAATCCTGGTTTAACTGCAACCTTTCAAATGTACTTTAACCAGGTGAGCTTTCCAGTTAACTGCCACCAAAATCTTGAGTGAGAGCTCCAGCCTACTGCTGAGCTTCTTTAAGGGCAACTCCTAAATTCAACAATATACTTACAGTAAAACAGGAAAATGTTCATCTCTTTTCCACAGCTCTGCAAATACCCAGCACTATAAACCCTCCTGATATCCCAGTCCTATTATACAACTACCACTTCAGCTTGTTTTTTCTTTTCAAATTTTCTAGTCCAATTTAGAGCTTCCTACTGCTTCTGCTGATGGTAGTCAGAGTTCTCAATCCACACGACATACTACCAGGTAAGTACTAGCATTGTTGGGTTGGTTTGAGTTTTTTTCAGATAAAGTTTAAACCAGCAGAATTTTTCACTCCCAAAGGTCTTCTCAATTGTCTCTACTTTCTGAGGACTCTATAAAAACTTTCTTCTTACACTGTCCTTTAAGTTTACCAGATTTTTCTAGCACATGATGAAGTTTACTTCAGCATCCATCAGTTTAAAATAAAACTGTAATTACAGAATAATTGCATTTACATTTCCTAACCCTGCTCTATTTAAAAAGTGTTTTTACAATATAAAAGCACAACTTTGAGCCACATTTTACACTTGGTAGTGTGAACTCCCCTTCCTGATTAAATAGAGAAAATATATATGCTTTTACTGATATCTTCTTCCCCTGTCCAAGGTATGCTCACATAGTGCCTGTGCCACACTGACCAGTTATGGTCTAACATTCCCAGAGGTTACTGAAGCCACTAGTGAGATCTCTGCAGGAGATCTCAGCTGGAATGAACACAGCTGCTGGGTGGCTGCTTTGTGAGCCACCCTTGGCAGCTCTGTTTTAGATAAAGGAATTTCTGTATCTTGATCAGTAAATTTTTGTCTTTCAGATCCTTCAGAAGAACAAGTTCAGTCTCTAGTCAGGCTTCATCCCTCAAAGTTGTTGAGCTGACCTTGCCTCTCCCCACTCCTGAAGAAGCAGCAGCTGTTGGCTCACAGCCACCCAGCAGAGGCAGCACCTCTGGTATTTTTAAAGGCAAAAAGAAGTTGTAAGTCATCTAGTTGAGATTCCTTAATTTTTGCAACTGACCTATATCCATGGAGTTACCTGGAACACTTGCAGCAGAAGTACAATTGTTATTGTGTGGGCTGACAGGTATTTGCTCCCGAGTGTGGTTCTGACACCCACCTTTGCAGATCTCACTGGGGACAGCATTACCTCCTCCTTCAGTAATGCAACCACTGCCTTCAGGCTGCTTGTAAAGCACATCCCAACAACAATGCTCAAAACCAAAGGTTCATACTTAAACTTACCTAGACAATAAACACTGTTATAAAACCTCTCTTCTACTTTAGTTGGTTGGGGGTTTTTTTTAACATTAGAGAACATTTGATATATTTAAAGAATGTAATACACTTGCCTTCACAGACAGGGGAGGGTTCCACTGAATTGGACCAGTGACGAGTATGAAACATCCCAGCAACATTAACAAAAACCCAGACACAAAAGAAAAATTAAGAAAATTTAATGATCAAATGAACTATATACATTGTGATGGCACATGACTTCATTCAGTTATCCCTTTTCTATAGCTGGAAGTTTGATAGAAAAATATCAACAGTCAGTAGTACCCCAAGGACAAGAAAAACCAAACCAAATCAAACCCATCTGTTGTTAAAGTGCTTATTTGATGCAAGTCACAGCTAACTATATCCAGGGGTATCAAAGGATTTCAGCCCATCATACAGAATATTGTACAGGAACACCTCAAATTAAGAGCACAGGAAACTTAAATAATAACTGCTATTTTATGTAAGATATCTTTCCATCTCTTTCCACCACATAATCTTTTAGAATTTTTTGACATCCTGCAATACAGAAAAAATCCTGCCTTTCTATCACTCTTTATGTGCATTTCCTCACAAGATACTCAGTTAAAGGTTCATTTAACTACACTCATCCAAACAGTGTATTCTCAGGGTACTTCACTGTTTCTTCTGCTTACTTCCTTTTTCCCTCTCAAACTCAGCTATTTGGTTGAATATGTTAACTAAGTTCTGGGGCAGGTTTCTTTTAGTGCCACTTTCTGCTTGTTCTGTACCATTTAAAGACATTTCCTCATCTGGTTCTTTAGTTTTATCAGTCTCTTCAGAACTTCTTTTCCTATTCTTAGACTCGCTTTCATTCTTATACTGACCTGACACATGCCTGTCACTATCATAACCTTTGTCACCTTCACGTGAGCAGGTGCTAGAGTATGACCTGTACTTCCCCCACGACTTGCCAGAATAGTCAGACCCTGATGGAGACACGTAATACCTGTCTTGACCTGAGCCATGTCTTCTAAACTGCTCTCTTCTCCCCTCTACGTCCCTTTCTGACCTCCGGTAATAATGCATCCACGGTTTATCATATGATTTATGATACGAACCTGAAGAGCCCCTCCAACTGGAGAAAAATCTCTCTGGTTTACCATATTTTTCAGTTCTGCTATGACTTGGCTGACTTCTGGAGCTACTGTAAGAATCTCTTGAATCTTCAGACCTACCTCCAAAAGTGTCTTCATCATCACCTGAAGTCCTCGACAAAGAACAGTGTCTGTCTTTCTCTTTTACCTCCGTTTTTGGACACGCTAAGCTGTCCTGCCTTTCCAGCAGCTTTTCCACTTCAAAATTTTGGTTAAGAAAAGAAGCAGAGGTATCAGCCGGAGGGGAATACCACTCCTCTTTCCTATTCTGATCTTTATAATGGGAAGAAGCTCTAGATGAGCTTTTTTTGGAGCTGCGAGCAGACTCAGATCTATGCCGACGCTTTTTCCTACGTTTCTTGTGATCAGAGGAAGAGGAGGAAGAAGACACTGATTCATCTGATGATGAATCACTTGATGATGATGATGAGGAGGAGGAGGATGAAGAAGAGGAGGAGGAGGAAGTCGATACTTTCCTTTTCTTCTTCAACCTAAAAAAACGTAATTAACCCGTGAGATAATCTTCAGTATCAGGCAAAAATTACATGCAGAAAGCAAATTTGTATACCCCAGTTTGGACTGTAAGGTGTGAAGGGAAACTCAGCCTGACCTGGCAAGACAATTCCAAATGTCATTTCTTCATCAAAAAATTAAGATTAAATCCACTGAACAGTTTGTTATAAAAGGCATGTTTCCCAATTACACATGGCATTACACTTTGGAAATACGTCACACTGCAAAGTATTCCAACAACTCTTCCACATGCACATTAAAAGTTACATGCATTAAAGGACACTGCCCACAAAAACGTTCTGGAGGTAAAGCAGCTTACCCAGGGAGAAATTCTCCCTAGCTTACTGCTGGACAATCTGTCTGGAATGGGATTGTTCACAGTCTTGTCTGCACTTACTGCCCCATAACCAATATCCTGAAGATAACAGTTACCTTTTTTCTTCTTTTAAGAGCTTACGCAATTTTTCTGCACTTGTTTCTACTTTCTTTGCTTTCTGTCTCTCTTCTTTGGCAGCTTGTTTCTCCCTCATTTCCAAAGATTTCTTTTTTGAACCCAAGCATCATAAAAAAGATCACATTAGTAGTGTTAACATGGGTATTTTCCCCCATTCAACCCCATTCAAATGTATAATCACACCAGGGATGTTTTACCAGTATTCCCAGACCAAAAATTAATTTTGTTCAGGAGTTTGGTATTGGCCATTGTGATAGGCAGGTTTATATTTAAGGACCATATTGCAGTTTTTATTCCATTAAAAAATATATTTGACCAGTCATTGCAGTGGTACCCGTGATCCAGCACACCGTGAAACACAGAGCCCAAAAGTTATAGGTAGAATATGCAAAAAATCCCCAATATTACCAACATATAGAAAATAAGGAAAAAAACCAAACAACCAAAACCAAACCAAAATAGAGACAAAATTTTGATGGAAAGTATCATTATTGCAGTTTACAAGTAAAACATGGTAGGACCCAGTTTCAGACGAATTCAAGTTGGCCACGTTTGAATACAAACCGTTTGGTAACCATTTCACAGCCCAGTTTGACGCAGAGTTTACGTAAGAAATCGCGATCCAGGGGTTTGGTGGTGACGAGCAGCACCAGACGTCAGACACAGCAACAACGGTCCCGTTCAGAGGAAAATGCATTGGAGAAAAACACATCATCAGTATTACAGGAAAACACACTCCAGTGCCATTTCAGCCCTTCTAGCACAGCAGGGACAGGATCAGACTTAATACATAAGTTACAGGTAAATGCGGAAGAGCATCTCACCAGATGAATAATCCTTAGACTACTTAACTCTATAAGAGATCAGACTTCTGCCACCTACAGCCCTACACAGCAGCTCTATGCAGATTCAGAGTGAGCAGAAAGTCTGATTAGAGTTTTCAAAACTTAGCAACTATGCTAACAGCTATAATAAAGGAAACCCTTTGTTGCAGCCAAGGCCATGCACACCAACAACCAACAGCTATCGTGTTCTTTGCTGCAGCAATGACCATAGCAAAGTGTTAAAGGAGAAAAATTTATCTCCCTCATTTTAACTGACACCTCTTTCTAAAGCAGCCAAATGCAGATACTGCTCAAATACCATACACCTGTTTATCTGTGGTGTAGTTCAATTTTATTAAGAAGATTGTCCTGTCTCCTCTTCCCCCTTGTTTCCACACAACCTGTCAGCATTATGGCTCCACCAACTGAAGAAATGCTGACTAAGGCCATCTACCCCAGCCTATGTACATCCTCACATGCAGAAGCACAGAACAAAACAAGCCTGTTCCTCAGTGCTCTGTTTTACTCTTTGACCTGCTGTGGAAGACAACACAAGCAAAGGAGGTGAACGAAAGACAGAAGATGACAACTCAGATTAGCACAGAGACCCACCAGGCTCACCTGGGAAACGTGCTGCATGCAAGGGAAGAGAGGAAAAAACCACCAGAGAGCAGAGGAGAAAGCTGAGATATTCAAACTGTCTGCCCGCCCACCCTCCACCTCCTGCTGTTTGCCTTTAAATTACCTTTTAATTTCCCTTCTCCTGTGATCTCCCCATGCCTTAACTTTGCCTGGTGTTTCTCTATCTTTCTGTAATTACCAAAGGCCCAGGATCTGGCCAGTGACAAGGATCTGTCGCTATATAGCGACAATGTTAATCTGGCTTGCAGAAGTGTTTTACACTTTGCAACTTTGTATTCACAGAAGTTTTAAGTTAACAGCATTAATCATGCTTGTGGGATGGGATATTCTTATCCCTGCTTTGCTCCTTCCCTGTCTCCACTGTCTGGCATTTCTTTACTATCCTTTTCAAAACAGTGGAGTCACCAAGAGATACCTTTCTTCTGGTAGGTACAGCCATAATGCTCACTAGAAAAGATTTACTGTGGAGTAGGGAAGCAGAGAGTAAGACAAACCATCAACTCAAACCCTCTCTGTTCAGAAGATTTAATATGATTTTTGATGTTCACTTATCGTCACTGAGAGCACCATGTGAAAAGAAAGTAAAGAATCACCTGGATGTGCTTACGGAGTTTTGTTAAGGCCTCTTCTGCTTCCTGAAAAGTCTCATCCAAACTTAAGGCTTTTTTATAATAACTCTCAGCATTTAGTAGTTTCTCTTCCTCTTCCAATCTAAAATTCAATGATAATTCATATACAGTTAAGACACAGATTTTGGCAGCTTCTTCTTATTTTTAGGACTTTCTTATTTGCAAATATTTCTTATTTGCACAATGACACTACCACTGCATCCCTAGGAGACCACCTCTATCACCTCAGGCCACCAAAACAGCATTTCTGACATAATCATCTCCTACCCCCGATCAGTAACACTACTCTTCAAAATGTCAATTCCAATTCCAATAATATGTCTCTCTCTTCTTAACAGAGGATTTAAAAGAAACCTATTCTCTGAATATTCAGAATTAAAATTTTGTGTTAGAGGGGTTCACCAATATTTCAGAAGAGTTACAGTACATCATTTTATTACAAAGATTTTATCTAAAAAAAAACCCCACCCCACAGCCTTTTGGAATATATTCAAACATTTCAGAGGACTTTATGCAAGCCTGGTATCCTAGCAGTGAAAGGGTATAAAGGATTAAAACGGATATTGAGGATTAAACCTCAAACATTTTGCCAGGATTTTAACTGGGACAGAGGACAAAGTGTAAACCAACTACACGAGCAGGGATATTTTCAAGGACTTTTTTTTTAAACACAGCCAGGAAGGAAAGATGCCCTTCTGTATCCTAACTAGAATGGTATTAAAAAAAAAATATTATGAGAAAAATCGTTAACAACCAAACCAACCCCTAACCCCAACACTTACTGCCCGCCTCTTTCCACAAGGGTCTGACACAGGTATTTTCTTGCATTTCTATGGGTAGGACAGTTTTCTAAAGCAATTTCAAAATCCCCAATGGCTTTGTTTAGACTTCCTTTTGTTGCATACCTAGAACAGAAAGTTGCACAGATTGCAGTGAGGTTTCTCTTTCGCAGAGCAGAAAAACCAATGAGACAAGCAGACTTACAGAGCTCCACGTGCTACCAAAGCCTCAACGTTTTGTGGATCAATTTCCAAAGCTTTGTTGTACTCATTCATGGCTTCCACATGGCGCCCAACCTTGAAATAATCCACCCCAGCCTTCACACTGGAGAAAAAATATTTAGAAAATCTTAGGTACAGTTTGTCTATGCAGATTTTGCACTGTTACTCACAAATGATGATTCCAAACACATGATAGGTAATAAAACCTGAGCCTTGTTACCATGTACTTCACACTGGCATTTCAAATTAATACAATATTGACTTAATTCCACAACAATATATTGTCTTTAATCCAAAATCTTAAGGCACTCAAGAGAATTTCTGCAGATGATGCTACTACATTACATTGTTTTTATTTATGGAATGATTATTTAAGTCATTTTCTTCACCTACCACCATGAACCTGGAACAGGCTTAATTGTTTCCAAAGCTCAAAAACGCCATCAGACCAACTGCACAAGGTGACAGGGGCAGATGGCACACACTGGAACCAGCTCATCTTAAACAATATTTTGAAGCTTTAAATTTCGCATTACCTTAACATTTCTTCCACATTTGCTAAGAGATTAACTCATTGAAAGAGAATAATGTAAACTGATTTTCAGAGCTTTTCATTACAGACTTTTTAAAAAAATTGAAATTTAATTAATATTATAAGCAACTTTTTTTGCAATGAATCAAAGTTGCAAATACACTGTGCAGTGTAAAAGCAACAGCACATATCCAGGGCTGCTGTTCCAAATGCAGCAAGGGAAATACGTTTAACTTTCCAAAGACAGCAAGGTCACTTGTTACATTTACAGTCTGAGGCTTAAATGACTTGACAAGTATGAGGTCATTGAACACTCAATTGAAAAACAGAGAATTGTGTACTTGGTGTTAACACAAATTGTGCTCTCAATCTCATGAATGGGCCAGAATATTATAAACATTCTCCCTTAAAGCTGAGATGCATTTTGGAACTGAATCTTGGGACTTTATCTATCACATACCCACTTAGCAGATCACTACACATGTTGTGGAAAAACTGATTTAACGTGTATTTTCTTTGAAGAAATATAACCTGTAACCTAACCTAACCTAATAACAAGAAGTACCACGTACCATTTCAGGGCCCAAGATGCAGACTGCTTTTTCCTCAATGCAGGGGCAAAATCTTCTTCATTGAAATTTTTACTTTAAGGAAAAAAACAAACAAAAACATCAAGTTGGCCTTCTGAGTCTACAAAGTTAAACTTATAATATGTAATGCAGTCAAAATAAATTGAAATATTATTCATACATGCCTTACTGCTCTCCCTCAGTCAGGAAGGTTATTTATTTCTAAAACCAGTTTTTCCCAAACCATTCTAAAAGTCCTGAATTGAACAAGTACAACTGCAGTACATTTAACAGAAACATACCAAGTTCACACTTATTTTGGGCCTAACATTTGTGGGGCTGACAACATCAACCATTATATATATCTGACCCCATTTTACTAAAGAGATCATATCTATTACTAAAATAAACATCTGTCAGAAAACATTAAAACTTAAACATCCTGTGCTTCAATACAAAGAAGATAACAAGAGTTATGCAATAAATTCCTAAAGTATTTGGTATCAAACATTGTGTGTGATAAGGTATTTTGCTTATTCAGAGCAAGAGAATTTCAAATAAAAATTCTTTAATGTAGAGGAGTTTGCTTTTAAATATTTAAGGACATGTAAGCTGCAGTCATGCAAGTCAAAATGAAAAAGGTTTAAGTATAACTGGTCTAGGACTTCTACTCACAAGTCTATTTCAATGGATTAGAATAATCTCCACAGAGCTACAGTATAGGAACAATATAAAAATCACTTACATTTGAAGACTTCTCAGCAAAGACGGTGGATTTGACTCACTTAGTCCTAGTTTTTCTGCTAAATATTCAACTAATGATGGATTAGCAAATCCTGGGGAACGATGCAAAACCTCTTCAAATGTCTCTCCTGTATTAGCAACTTCCATGCTTCGCCTTAAAAAAAGCACCAATGTACACAAATGAAACCTCACAGGCTCTATACTTAATCTTTTCATCCTTATATTGAGAATAAAAATGCCTATATTGATATTTATATTACTGCTCACAAGCCATTCTGTTCTACAGGCATTTATTTTCCTACTATTTAGCAACCCTTATATCCTTCCTCTTAAGTGAGCTTTTGAAACCTACTTTGGCACCCATCAAGGTACCTCCAGAACATACAAAACCATTATAAAAATGCAGAGTTAGCTGTGTCCTCCTGTCTTCTAAGGGGAGTTTTGAAATGTTAATAATCTACTCCAGTCTCTCAAGGTTTTTGTTTCTTTCATTTGTTTGTTAACACAGTCCTAAAGCAACAGACACCTCACTACGCTTTCTGCTCCTTACATTTTGGGAAAGCAGCTAAAACACCAACCACACCCACATATCCAGATGCAGGTATATTAAAGAGATGAACAACAAGAAGTATGTAATTATCCAATTAAATCAGAAACACCACTGGCAAGTTTAAGGGACAGACAACCTGTCAAGACACACTCTTCAGAGACAGTCGCTACACCCAGCAAGCGCAGAGAGGTAGCACATCCTTACTTATAATGCACTGGGAAGTCATCGGAGGTGATCACGCCCAGTTTGGTACTGGAAAGGTTGGGTGGAAGAGCTGAGCTGTAAAGAGACACCGTGAGCTTCTCATGGTAACGGTCCACATCCTTGACTGCAGCTAAAGAAGTCATAAAGGTTAAGATAAAACCACAGAAACATTTCAGACCCCAAACAAACCAATTCCCAGCAATTCTACAACTACTCACCTCGAATAAGGTCTCCAGTTTGATAATAAGACAGAGGATCTCCATGGTTGCTTTGAGGAGGCACATCCCTCACAGGACACAGAGCCTGCAACACAAGAAAGCCTGAATATCATAAATGAAGCCGAAAGGTTGGAGTTTTTTCCCCCCCAAGATTAAGCCATAGAAAGATGTGTTTAAGCTTAATGTACATCAGAACTGTGACACTTAAAAAATGGCTTGGTTCAAATAAAAATTCACGCATCCACAAATGATGAACTTTTGAACCCAAAAGTAATAGAGTGTGGGTCATAACAAGATGTGTTCCCTGGCTCAGCAAAGCATCATAAGCTGCCCACAAAAAGAGACAACCACCCATCATCCCAAAGCTCAGTTTCACCTTCACACACACCACTCCGTTAAGAGATCCAAGAAGCAACTAACATATGTCAAAAACGGAGCATTGACCAAAGCTGTATCTTACAGTGATTTCCAAATCTGCAATTTCCCGTATGACACCACTTCCCAGACAAATCAACACCATGAAAAAGCCAAACTCCCGGATGGAGGTGATCCTCCCGATCACGATATCGCCTCGCTCGATGTCACGGAAGAACAATTCCCTCCTCTCCTCCCTGGGCACCTCCATGAACCTCTCCAGGGGCGGCATGACAGCATAACACTCTGCAACACAGGACACAGAGTCGGTTACAAACGACCAAAGTACTGCCTGAAAATACAGAATACATCACGGCAGCACAACACGCTAAAATCCGACTTATTTGTGCCAACGGGAAGCTCGTGCACATCCCATATAAAGCAATAAGAAAAGTTTTTAGGCCTGTTTTAAAGATACCGCTAATTCAAGTGCAGTGTCCTTACACTTACACGTAGTGTGTCCCACACTTACCTACAGTGTGTCCTCACCCACCCCGCGGGCGTTACCGACCCCCCTCACCCACCCACCCTCATTCTCCTCGATCGTGTCCTCGATCGGCCCGTTGGGTTTCCACGAGTGCGCGAAGAGCAGATCCGCCTTCTTGGCGATGAAGCGCTTTATCTCGGTGTCGAGGCTCGCCCTGTCTTTCCTGGGGGAAGGAGAACGCGGTGAGTGGCGCCCCGCGGCCCCTCACGGCCCGCCCGGCCGCTGCCCCGGCGCCCCTCACCAGGCGGCCGGCGGGGCCCCGCGGGGCGGCTCCGGGGCGGCCCCGGGCGGCGGCAGCAGCCCGCGGAAGTCGGGGTTGTCGTGCTGCTCGGCGCGGAGCAGCGACAGCAGCGCGGGGCCGTGGTGGCTCAGCGCCTGGCGGAGCAGCTCCCGGTCCATCCCAGCGCCGCCGCCGCCGCCTCGCCCGGAACGGGAACCGCGACACGGGCAGCGGGGACAGGGCGAGACCGCGCGGCCGCAGCGCCCCCTGGCGGGGGGGAGGACCGCGCTGAGCACGGGCTGCCCACCCTGTTTGCGGGCTCGTCTCCAGGTAATAAAAAGAGAGCGATGAAAGAGAGAATGATTAAACACAAGGTGCAAATCACAGAGGTGTTCCCCGTTCGGATCCCGCCCGGCTCGGCGGGGCGGACCCTGCGGGCAGTGTCTGCGGCGGCGCTGCCGGGAGGGGGCGCTGCGCCCCCGCCGTGCCCGCCCCGCGCCCCGCTCAGCCCCGGCCGGGAGCGGCTCCAAATGCGGGTTTTAAAGGGAAAAGGCAGCGCCGCCGGACCCGCGGGGCTCAGTTGAGGAGGCGCAGCCCCGGTATCCCGGACGGTGCCTGGAGCGCGTTCGTTTCCGAGGGAGCGACCCCTGAACTCTCTCGGTCAGGGCTCTGGCACGGCTGGTCTGAGTTACAGCAATCGAGTCCAGGGCAGGACAGGGGAGCTGGGGAGGGATCTGGAGCACAAGTCCCGTTTGGAGCGGCTGGGGAAGCTGGGGGTGTTTAGCCTGGAAAAGAGGAGGCTCAGGGGACACCTTGTCACTCTCCACAACTCCCTGACAGGAGGTTGTAGCCTGGTGGGGGTCGGGCTCTTCCCCCAGGCAGCCAGTGACAGGATGAGGGGACAGGGCCTCAAGCTGCGCCAGGAGAGTTGTAGGCTGGACATCAGGAAGAATTTCTTCACAGAAAGGGTGATTAAACTTTGGAATGGGTTGCCCAGGATGATGGTGGAGTCACCGTCCCTGGAGTTGTTTAAGGAAAGACTGGACATGGCATTGAGTGCCATGGTCTAGTTGACAAGGTAGTGTTCGGTCATAGGTTGGACTCGATGATATCGGAGGTCTTTTCCAACCTAATTGATTTTGTGATTCTGAGAATAAACAGGAGAGTGTGAGCCAGCACAGCAGCGTGGAGGTGAGAGGCTCACCCTGGCAGGGATGGTCACAGCATTTGTAAGCCAGGTTGCTTGAGCTGTCCCATGGACGGGCTCCCATCAGCCATTCAAACAGGAGAGCAGGCTCCCATTGGCACTTTATACAGGTGACACAGAGCAGTGTGCAGGGATGTACTGGCCCTGTTTGTGAGAAAGTCTGTACTGAAACAGAGGGAAAACAGGCAATTCCCTCAGGAGAAAGTGATGGGCTGAGGGTGCAGCTGGGCCATTACCATGGGCCTGATGCCGGGCTCAGCATTCCTGTTCACCAGTGCTAACTTTAAATGCTAAAAAGACACTTCACTCAGGAGGCTCTTCATGCTAATCACCTCTCTAGCTAATGGAGAAAGGTGCTTAAAACCAGCTGGAAATAATCCAAGCCTATTAGAAAGATCACAGTTCTTCAGCCCTGAAGAATAATTTGTCCCTGGCATCACATTTAATAATTAATTTTAAAAGGGGGGTAGGGGGGAGAAAATCCACTGCAAACAGCATAATGTCACTTCTCCCCTCAGTACAATGCAGAAGAAAAAATAGCAATCTGGCTGTCAGCAGATCAGGGACATAGACTGCTCTAGGAAGCAGCATGACTGAGAGGGCAAGGATCATATCAAAGACGCTGGTCTCAGAAGCTCAGTTCAAAGCCAGCAGGGATATCGCTGGTATAGCAGACTTGGGGAAGACACTGGAAGGGCAAATTTATATTTTATTTTCATTTCGTCTCCCCCTGTTTTAATATAACAGAAGATAAAGGAGGCATAACACTTACTATGTACTGAACAGCTGCCAGGAATTTGATTTAAATTCTTCCTGATCTGTATGAGACCAGGTGTGCACTTAGATTTCTGGTTACCACGGTGGGAAAACACCATTAACACCAGATGGAAATTTCTAGACATTGAGACTGATTAGACACAGGTTGACATGGGGAGGTTAATGCATTTAATGCACCTGCACAGATCTGATGCAGAAATGAGCCTTTCCTGGAGGAATCATGCAGCAAGTGCAATGTCCTGAGCTGTGTGGCACAACTGCAAATAGCGGCAGTTTTATTTGAGGGAAGGGTATTTTGAGGAAGAGTTAATTGGTGTTGCTTAGCAAATACAAGAGCTAGCAATAAAATGAGTTGTTTGAAGCACAAACTCTGCTTGTGTAAGCATTTCTCTGGTCTCATATGCAGATACACACACACAACGTACAAGAAATTAAACGTTATGAGTAAATACTTTCAATGTGTTACGGTTTCTGGACTCAACACACCAGCAAAAAAATCATGGGCAAAGCAGAACCACCTATAATATTTGGCCCTTCTTACAGACATTTTCTTCTCTGAGTAAAAATAAATTGCATTTTAGGAAATTCAATTATCCCACATTAATATACAGAATGTAGATTAGTTGCCCCTGAACGTGAGGGCTACCTTTATATTTAAAGCAATGCATTCTTTAACTGGGCCAAACCCATTCTGAAATTATCCTAATCCAACAAACTAAAATACCTCAAATCATTCCATCTTCAGAAATAGCTCTGGCAGAGCAGGGTATTTGAGCATGAACTTGTAATCTTCTTTCCTATTTTCCAGGTTATAGTAATGAACTCAGAAGCAAAACAAGACTATGATATTTTGTGTGTTGTTCCACCTCACTCAGCACACATATAAACCTTTGTATCCTTTTCTCTTGCAGGCTACAGCCTGGATATTCACTCTGCTTTAAAAAATATCTCTGCATCTTTTCAGTGGTGGATTTTCCATTTTTCTTTTCATTCTTTGCTTGCTTTATTTCAGTTACCCAAGAGGAAATAATTTTGATAAAAGGATGTAGCAGCCAACACAATTCAGGCAGGGATAATGATAAATGGAACAGTATGGAATAAACCCAAGGGTAGATACACCGCTGAAGAGACCCCAGGCCTGAGGAGGAGGCATGCTCCACATGCTATTAATCCTCTGTTCCATTGATTTAGGAACTGCCTGGATGAGTAGTGCCTGATCCCATATGCTAAATAAACCAAGAGGGTGGGCAGGAGTGTCCTGATTCTGCAGGAGAAAGTGATACAAGTCAACACATCACCCTACTTGGGAAGGAACATTCCAGATCCTCTGAAACTCGACGTGTCTGAACACGCTTGATGTAGGTTTTCTGACAGTTTAGGTCAGTGCATGATAAAAGGCAGCTCCCAAAAATCCATCCTGCAGCCTGTAACTCCCACAGTACAGAGCTGATGAATTTACACCAAGCCAGCTTTGAACCCAGGGTGAAACTCACAGTGATATGGTCCCTGAACAACCCAAACACTGATAGACTTGATAGAACTTCAAAGTGTGTATGTGAAATACTAAGCAGATTTTCATCCAAATCCAGTAAGCACAGCTTGAATGCAAAAAGGTCAAGCTGCTTCTCAAATGTTCCCAAATATCCAATATCAGTAGTGAAGCTTACAAGAAAAATCTCATGGAGGAAAGGATTTTGTGCCAAGAGCCATGTTTTATCACTGACTAAAAGGTCCTCCAAGATCATGCATGTCAAAGGATTATTTTCTGCCAAGTTTGGGCAGATTTGAAAATAAATTTTAGCCTGTTGAAAATGGAAGTGAAATGTTCAACTAAATATGTTCTTTGGGCTAAGAAAGAGGGAACTAATAGTGCTAATGAGAATGAGCATGAAGAGCTGTACTTCCAGCTGTGCCAGACTTTTGGCAAATTCTGCCAAAAGCAGTCCTGCTGCCCAGACTTGCTAATTTATGAAGCAGCGAAGGGACTGCCCAAATATAGTATGATATCCAAGATATTGTTTCAGCTAAAGAGTGATGAAGGGATGTTCAGCACAAAATAACTGCTAGTCAGTTAGTAGCCCTACTTTGAGGAAAACATATCTGCAGGCATAATCACCAAATTTGTTGGAGGAAATGTGAAAACAACCCTAAACTCAGAATGATGGAACAACCCAAGCCATGCCCTTTCAAGCACTTCCATTTTTAACAAGTCCAGCTTTGGCATGGTCTGTGAGAGGGTATGGTTTCAGACCATATATAACATGCAGAGTTACCTGGAGTGTGCTCAGCACCTGTTTCTGGTGTCGGGGACCTTTGCACTTCTCAGGTTCCTAGAAACTGTGTAGACAAAGAACAGTCAGTCTCACGTAATAAATATGCAAAGACAGGCTGTGCAAACTGCCCAGGCTCTGAATCGACACTTAGACCCTGCTGGAGTACAACAAAAATAATAGTTAAGAAAGGTCAAGGGAGAACCCCCTCTGAGCGCTGTCGATTTGTGCCAAGCTGCGGGCAGTGGCACTGCTGAGCCTTTGTGAGCAGCGCTGCTCCTGCACTTAGCGCAGCGCTTTGTGCCTGCAGGGTAGTGACGAGCGTTTAAAGGCTTCAGGTAAGACTGAAAATGTTGCTGGAGGAAACGTTGGCATTGGCATTTTTTACCCTAAATATGAAAGCCAAGCTGTGGTGAAGGAAGGTTTGCTTATTTGACAGGAACACCAGTCGGGCAACTTAGCGCTAATCATGACACAGACAATATGTACATACACCCACCTGTACAGCCTGCAGTACCTCTAGAAATACTGCCTATGGAGCAAATTCCTGTGATTCATGAGGGCTCAGCAGAAGGTGTGCCAAGTAAAAAGGTTTTTGTGAGGTTTTCATGGATTTTCCAGCTTCTAACACTCCACAGGCTGACAGTATCTCCTGCTTTATACCAAAGGGGAGTCATCCTGATTTTTAGGTTTTAGATTGAGTGATTGCAAAAATCGCAACTTTCCAGTCAGCAGAGTAGATCGCTCCTTAAAGCCAAAAATTACATTCCCAAGGTATGAATATTTGACCTCAAGGCTGCAAGTACTACAAGGAGATCTTTAAGCATGCAGCCACTCTTGGTTATTAAGTCTCTTATTCATAGTAGAGCAGTATTCATGTTTTAATTGTAAAATTCTTTTTCCAGCAATTTTCATCTTTCTAAACTGCCATAGC